TGAAGACATTATACACCAGAATACAAAAAAGGACTGCTTTGTATAGCTCTAAAAAAGATTAGATTTTCATAGTCTGACAGGTAGATAAGATGAATCGAGCAGGTGATTTAAGGACTTGGCAAACATGGACAGGAATTACACATTGTGTGTATTTACACTTTGATGTACTTTGATGAAATGCAAATGCTGCCCAAAACACAAGCTCCTTGTTGAACGTAATAACAAACTACTGAAACCATTTTGAGCTCCTCCTCTTTTTTACACATGGTCTGTACTGATCTGGTGCAGTATGCAACAAAGGACAACCGTCCCTGTGTTTTTCATGCTCAGTGTTTATCTGATAAATAGACCGATGAATGTTAGAAAGTGATCCGACCGGAGTGTCTGGTTTGCAGTGACTCGTTCATACTTGTTTAAATTCCTGTTTCCTGCTCGGCTCCAGCCACTCGTTTCACTTTGAGAGCAATAGTTTGGATCACTGTGTCGGAGTCTGGGGTTTTTATCTGTGGTAAGTCTTTTTGTTTATTGTGTTTCTTTATTGTTTGTTTTGGTTTTGAGTCAGAGAAGAAACAAACAAGAACCTTATAACAAAACCCTAAAACTGTAGTAAAAAACAAAGCGATTTTTTCTGCATGTTACTGAATAAAGTCAGGCTGTTTTTTCTCCGTCAAAATGTGAGCGGTGAGCACATACAAGATAACAAATGTTGTTAAAACCTCCCACAAAGCTCCAAATGTAGCAGCAAAGTGTGAGAAAAGCAGTATTTATGTCTATAAAGAGCTGTTCTTGGAGTCGTGCAGAGACCTGCACTTAAAGCAGGACTTTATGTCATCGAGGTGACTTATAGGAACTCTGCTTTCAGTTTTAGTTATGTGCTTAAGTTACACTGATATGGAGCAGGCTCATTTCAAAATAAAAGGTCATAGTCTAAGCTGATCTGTGTTCCTGGTGAGTGTTTGATGGGTCACCTCCAGCCTTGGCTGAGCCTTTGTGCTTTTCTTTAATGTATTTGCCAAATAGAGATAAAACACTGCTGCTGATTGTTCTGCTGGTTATAGAGTGGGTGGAGTCAACTCACATGAATTGTTTTGGTTTCTCTTGTGAAAATGACTGCTTGATACAAACTCAGAAGCCCAGCTGTCTGAAATGACTGAAGATGAAGCATGTTTGTAGTTTGTAGAATTTACGTATATGAATATCCCTGCAAGGGACATGGGAGGAAGAAAAATTAAGACGGACTTTTGCGAGATCTCACAAAACAAACTCGGGATTTCGCAAAAGTTTTAGCCGCATTCTTCGGAGGCCGTCAGCTTGAAGCCGACCGGGAGGTCGAGGCACAATGTGCCGGGAATGCGGTGTTCCTCCTGGCTGTAGTAGGTCTCGTTAGCTTCGAGATGGTGGGTGTCAGATCTCCGAAAACGTCAGAGCACTTTTGCAAATATGTGATGTCTTGTAAACCGAGCAGGTATCTGACGTTTACACAACTACATTCACACCTCAAAATATCTTTAAAGTTTATTTTGTGACCCAGAAAGAGTAATATTACAACTAAGTAGCCATTGTTGGAATTCAACTTTTGCAAGATCCTGAGTTTGTATTGTATCTCGCAAAAGTTCATCGTAATTTTTTTACTCCCATGTCCCTTGCAGGGCTCCGAAGACGAAGTTCTTTTACTGTTACACGCTGGACTAAAATGTTCTAACTTCTCTCGCTCTCACAATCATAAGATAACGACTCATATTGAAAGTGTTGCAGTCTGTTAGGAGTCACATGAAGAGTAGCTGCAGCTGAAAATTAGAAACATCACAAGATGTTAACAGATTAATCAAAATTCTGATTAAATTGTTTTTCTAACTTCTCTAAGTTTTTCATCCATTTGTCAGGTAAAGCTATTTTGAACATGTGTCCCCAGCAGAATAACTAAAAGCATGACTAAATTAGGACAGGAAAGCCATAAATTATTTGATGTATAAACATATATACAGTAAATCTTAAAATATAAAGAGAAACCTAAGAACAATTACTCACATAGTCTGAAACAGGGAGTTGGACCTGTTCCTCTAGTTCACTCAAAAAAAGGAAATTAGGTGGTTAGTACATTTACAAGAGTCTAACTAGTTGCCTGCACATGTGATATCACAGACTCACATGAGATTTCAAACCACAGGAAAATCAGTGAGGTTATATTAGGAAGAGAAGAATACACACTCCATATATATGCTATTGTTATTTATTGTAGTTTAACCTGTCAAGGACAAAAAAAAGTAAAGATAATTCTGTATCGAGCTTTGTAATTATTGCTTTCCTATTTTTTTTAGTATGGAGAGACTGCTCAATAACCTGGTGATTAGCACTGTTGCCTCAAAGAAAGAAGACTCTGAGTTCAAATCAAAAAGTTCTGTCTGGAGTTTGCATGGTCTCCCTGTGTTTGCGTGGATTTTCTCTGGGTACTCTGGCTTCCTTCCACAGTCCAAAGACATGCTGTTTGTGGGGTTAGGTTGATTGGTGATTCTGAATTGCCTGTAAGTATGAATGGTTGCCTGTGTTGGCTGTGCAATAGACTGGTAGCCTGCAGGGTGTACGTCACCTCTCACCCTGTAACTCCAGCCTCCCCATGACCCTGACAAGGACAAGTGGAAGAGGATGTATGGATGGAGTGACAGCTATGTGAAATTTGTTATAAATCCAATAAATTGGAGAAAATAACGGTGTGCATAACACATTTTATGTTATCTAGACTCTAGAAATGAACTTCCATGGGTTGGATCAGTGGTTCCCAAACTTTTTTGTTAGGCTCCCCTTTCTTTTACATGAAAAATCTCCCCCCACCACTCCGTTGTTGACGAGGAAACAGATTTCGCTACGCAACGTCAAAGGTGCGTGCCTTTTTTCACGTCATGCTGTGCACCACGTTATTGTTTACAGATAGAGACAAAATACTGTTAATCTTACTAACTTCAGGTTTTACACGGTTACATACACACACGAAGTTACTGTCCCTCCATTGAGAAAGGCAGAGGCGTCACAGTGTGATTATTTTACATGTAGTTGTTTTTTCCCTGTGTAATAATATTCAACATTGCTATCAATACATTTAAAAAAATGCCTCTCTGTGCAAAAGGGCTTCAAAAACAAAAACAGCTGTGGGATACTGTTTGTCCCTGATTTAAACCGAGGGAACAAATCGTGGCAGGATCAGCCTGATTTTATTTGTATCCCACTGTAACTTTCCTGTATAAAGAGCTAACATCTCCAAAATGTCAGGAGTAGTTAGTCATTATAAGAAGTGTTTGTAAACTTAAAATCAAGAATGTGGGATACTGTTTGTCCGTGATTTGGAGAGCCCAGTGTGTGTACCCACGCAGGGGTAACTAATACTGTTGCAGAGACCTACCTCGGCACCTGTGCAGTTGAAGCCAAAGGGAAGATATGCTTCACCATATTTCCTACTTTTTGTCTTGAAAGGAAAGGTTGGTTTGGAAACATATTCAGCGATGCTTCATCTCCTGCTTGTGTGGGAGCGCTTTCAAAAACCTGCTCATTATGCTAGCAGTGTCCAACCGTTATTTTATTTATTTATTTATTTCATTTTCATACCTCCCCCCTGCATTGCCCCCCCCGGGTTGGATGACCTTTGTAGTAAATAAGTTAATTCATCAGTTAATTGAGTGGTCCAAGTAGGTCCAACTTAAATACATTAAATAGAATAACAGGTAATGCTAAAATGAGGCATTTTAATCATTTGGCAATCCTTTCCATGATTGTCTTCTGTTCAATAGTTTTTTGTTTGAGTGTTGAAATAAATAGATTAACAAAAGTAAACAAAAGCTCATCCTCAGCAAACATGCCTCCATGGAGACATGGACACTGTGGGCAGCCGACTGTAGACCGCATATACTGGCATGAAATGTAGGGTATATTTGTCCACAGTGTACACAAACAGTATGCAAATGCTCTGGGTGTGGACTGCCCTACTGGAATTCCACTGCGCAGGGCCCCACTGTCTCACATGTTACGTCGATACCAAGGCCCACAGTTGGCTGCCCACCCGTGCTCCACAGTGAATACATGGTACATATAAAAGTGGACCCGACACACTGAAATGTTTTTATTACTGTGAAGCATTTATTGATGTGACCCACTTCTCCTCTGCAGCTGAGCCTGGGGCCACACCTCCTCAGTACATTACTGCCTCGTATCAAATATGGAACATTGCTCCATGTACCACTGAGAACGGTGGAGCTGTGTGGGGAGGCCAAACTTGCAATTATATCAAGCAGGGCCCAAATAGGTGTATCTATGTTTGCACACCTACTGTAATGAAAGTGCTGATGGGCCATGAACTAAGCTACATGCAGAACAAAGAGGATTTTCTGTGAGCAATCTGTATTATGGAAACTCAAATTGGTAAAACAGGAAGAGCTTTCTTTCTTTTGTTTTTCACTGTTTAACTCTTACTTTCACTTACATTTTTATAAGATTGTAGGAGATACATCAGCAAATCTGCTTCCTGCAGCAAAAAATACACCAAACAACTACAAACTCTTTATGAACTTGATAAGATAACCAGAAACAAAGGAACAGTCCTCACCAACAGGTTTCTTAATTGTTGCCGCAGTGTTTATGAAACTTAAGTGTTACTTAGTAGCAGGCTCAAAGTTCACACTGTAAGTGAAACTATCACTGATCATTTGTACTAATTTTTCTTTAACAGTCATTCAGTGAGTTGCAGAGAGAGCAGTCAACAGGTATGTTGTCTATTAAATTTAATGTTATTATTAATGTGACGTGTAGCTTCTGTCTAAAAAACTGTTAAAACTGTTGGAGTCAAACTGGGTTTGAAGAATATGGTCCAAGTGTAAGTTGTTCTAAAGCTTTTATGTGGGTGGAAAAGGTGAATCTATGAACTAGATTTTTCTGTACCTTTACAGCAGGTGACACTACTGTAATTGTAGAAGACAGTATAGATAGACTGATCTACACCATTTAAATCAGCTGTGATGGATCAAGGACACACCTAAAACCTGCAGGGACACCGGCCCTCGTGGACTGGGATTGGGGACCCCTGATCTGCTGCAGGATGGCTCATCAGCAGGATGGACTGTTTCCTCAATCACTTCTCAAAGCTTTCAGTGTTCTGATCTTCATCATTCTCTCAAAGGATGTCTGTAATGGTAATTAATACATAAATTGTCACGGTCCTGAGTCAGTGACCCAGTGTTTTGAGTTTCTTGTGTCGAGTTTTCTTATTATGATCTTAGTTCTCTTTGTTGCCTCAGTTTATTCTTTAGTCTAGTGTCTTAGTTTGGCTTTCTTGTATTCTCTTTAGATTTCTGAGTATTTAGTTAGCCGCCCTCTGTGTTTCTTAGTTGCTGTCTCCCGTAGTCAAGTCTGCATCTATGTTACATTTCCTGTTTTACTTTGAAGGTCTGTGTCCTACGTGAATGTACTGAGTTTCGCTTCCCTTGGGTCTCGTTATGTCCGATTTCTCCCAGCTGTGCTCCCTCTTCCGTGTCTCATTCCCCTCGTTATTTCCCAGTGTATTTAAGCCCTGTGTTTCTCTGTGTCAGTGTTGTAGTCTCCCTCATGCTGTGTGTTTCTCCCTGTGGCTTCCTGTGTGTGTTTTGTTAGATTCTTCCCAGTTTAGGTTTTGTAGAGTTTTGTGTTCAGCAATAAAAGCTGCCATTTTGAGTTCAATCCTGTTTCCAATGAGTTTGCGTTTGGGTCCAATTCCTGCCTGCATACAGCTGAAACATGACATAAATAAATGTTTGGTTTCTTTCATATTTCAAGCACACATTTTAATTATTTATATTTGTGCTCTTAATGTGCCTTTATTAAGAGCCATGTTTTAAGAAGTCAAAACAACACTGGCGGGATACAGAACTGTTTTCTTTTTATGAACCAACACATTTCAGTTTCTGTCAGCAGAGGTATTTAAACAGGATAGCTATATAGTATTATATTTTAACAAACACTATACACTAACAATAATGTTAATAGTTTTAGAATCAGAGAAGATGCTTGTTAGAGACATGGCCTTTAGGTTTAGTAATTTAAAAAAAATATTGTGAGATAATGCTAAAAAAATCCCTCCTTCTGGCGATTTCTTATTTAAGAATATTATTACTTGTTTTCAGGTCAGCCTCAGTTGATTGGTCCATCTCAGGCACTGGTGGCAAGAGCTGGTGATGATGTAATTTTGCCATGTCATCTGGAACCTGCATACGATGTTTCTATAAAGACACTGGAGTGGACAAGATCTTCCCTTGACCCTAGATTTGTCTACGTTTCACGTGCCAGTCAGGAAATCGAAAAATTAAAAAATCCTTCTTTCAAAGGAAGGACGTCATTGTTTGTTGATGAGCTCAAGTACGGAAATATTTCACTGAAAATCTCCAAAGTGAAATTTGATGATACAGGGACATACAAATGCTATATTCCAGAGATGGAAAAAGAAGCTTTCGTCGAGCTAGTTGTTGGTAAGTAGCTTCTTGTCTTGTATTGTGCAGTCTTGTCCCTGGTATAATTTAAGAGCTCTTTGTTCTTGCCCATGATGGAGAGGTCGAAATGGAATAAATTGATTCTGTAGACAAATTTTTTGTTCTGGATTTTTTTGTTCAATAGTCTCTCGCCATTAAGATTAAGCTAACATAAACATTTTAGACTCTTCATTTCTTTGTAAGTGACCAAATTTATGAATTCAGAACTCTATTAGCTTAACAGGTACACAAGTATATTTTTGCATCTTGTAATTTCATTAATGCCCATTGACTTTGAAATGTCATGTTTTCTTTTCTTCAGCATCAGATGCTGCCACCTCACCTGTCATCGGTTTATCAGGGATTGACAAAAACAGAGGAGGAGTGGTGTTACAGTGTGAGTCTGCAGGCTGGTATCCAGAGCCTGAGCTGCTGTGGTTGGACGGGGAGGGAAACCTCCTCTCTGCTGGACCTACAGAGACCCTCAGAGGTCCTGATGACCTCTATACTGTCAGCAGCAGAGTGACTGTGGAGAAGAGACACAGCAACAACATCACCTGCAGAGTCCAACAGAAGCAAATCAGCCAGAGCAGAGAGACACACATACATGTTCCAGGTTCAACTTATATTATTGCATTTATGATAGAAACACTTTTTGAACATCTGAAGTCCAGATTTCTAGTTTTTCTTTTTTTTTCTTTTTTTTTTTTTACCATTTCAGAGGATTTCTTTGAGGTCCCATCCAGTTCTCCCTCTGTCATCATTGGTTTGGCTGTTAGTTTGGCTCTTTGCATCATGCTGTTAATTTCATCAGCTGCTGTCCTTTTATGTAGAATGAAGAAACACAGTAAGTCACTGATAATTTTTTCCTACCTCTACTATAAATCAATGTTTTCATTTTCATTCCTTCTCATTTATTTTTAATTTCAAAAAGAGAACAACAGAAGCCCAGAGGATCAGACTGATGTGGGAGGTGCTGAAGTTCCTCTGAGAGGCTCTTCTCCCAAAACTAGGAATAAGACTTCATTCGTGAGTGGATAAACACGAACAAATTAAATATCAAGATGTTCATTGTTTTTCAGAAATGAGATGAAATATTAATCCTAATTTCAAAATAAAACTATCTGAAATAATGCTTAACAGAAAAAAGAAAAAAAACTGCACACGGTTACCACACAGACATTATGGGTGTCTCTATGAGCATGTGATGTGATCAGTGATATGTGTGTGTGTCTGTGTAGGAAACAGAAGTCAGTATTCATCCTAAAGATGTAATCACTCTGCTAAAGATCTAATGATCTTACACAATGACAATCATATTGATCCACAATTCTCTAACATTAGCTAACTAATGAGAGAATCGAGAACTGATAGGAAAATAACTACAGTAAAACTAAAAATCAGTTTATTTGACTACATTTGTGCTGTTTGTTTTTTGTCTAGCTGCACTCAAACGTTTGGGTTTTTAAAGCACTTTATAAATGAGCACTGTGTGGAGAGCAACTCTGAGTCACGTGACCAACACAAACTGATTTTTCCTCTTCTGGCCGAGTGTACCAAGTTGTGCAACCAGTTGCTGCCATCAGCGCTGTTTTACAACATAACGGCCACTACATGCACATCACAGCACAAATATAACTAAGTTTCTTACTGAAGCACGTTTGGGAATCAAGAATCCCATCAAAGTAGGTCAATGTGTGGCAAGGAAAAAGCAGATGCTCAGATGAAGAGATGCCACACTAGGGGTCCACTTTAACCTCTGACTTTGGCACATGTCATCTCTTTTTATGCGACATCTCCTGGCTCAAATCAGTTTGATATTTGAAGGCTCACAGTGATAAAATAATGACTCCTCAGCAGTGCGTAAAAAAAAAAAGTAACAAGCCTGTTCTGAAAATATAATTTGTCAAAAGTACAGATATTTGTTTAAAAATGTGAGTACAACTAAAAGGATCTCAGAAAAATACTCAAGTAAAGATACTGAAAAATTATACTGAAGTACAGTAACAACGTATTTGTACTTGGTTTGTCTGCCATCTCTTAGTGGCCAATAACTTGGACGTCGAAACTTCAGGAGGAACAAAAGAGGAGGGAGGAAGCTGAAAAGAATCTGCAGGACATTAAAGAAAAGGTTCGTATTTGTTATTTGGTATATATTTGTCATGTGTGTGTGAATGTGTCCCTATTAAATGTCTCTTTATCTCTGTATTGTAAAGTTATGAAGGAGATTATTTTGTTTATTTTGTAACAAATGTCTAAAAAAGTAACTGTTTCTATATATTAAATTTATAATCCACGTTGAAATTCAAAGAAAGGACTGGCTTGCAGAAATGTGTCAGAATTAAATGGAATCGCGAGTTTATTGTCATTCGGAACAGTTAGTGCACATCAGAATGAAATTCCAGTGCATTTACTCATCATCAAATATAAAAATAAATGAATAAAATTAATGTCTAAAGGTATAAAATGCAAGAAAGATCCATGTAAGAATAAAAAATAACAATATTTTAGTTTATTAGTGAGGAAATTAATTAGGAAAAGCTGCGCAGGATCTTTAAATATATTGAACATCAACAAAAGCAGCAGAAAAGTGTACAATCATCGTTCAGCCATGAAATGACACTGCTGTAAATATACAGTCATGGGGGACAGAGGGGAGGGGGAGGCAGTCAGGGTGGGTGGTTGGTGTGCTGATGGTTGGAGAATGAAACTATTGTAACATCTGGCTGTCCTGGTCCTGATGCTGCTAAACCTCTTTCCAGAGGGCAGCAGGTAGCACAGTGCATGATGGGGGTGGGCGGAGTCTCTGATGATGTTATGGACTCTGCTGAGACAACATCTGTGCTCGACTTCCTGGATGGATGGAGGAGAAGTCCTGGTGATCTTCTCCTCAGTGATCTCCTCTCTGAGGCCCTGAAGCTGTAAAACCAGATGCAGACACAGCTGCTCAGCACACTTTTATGCTGCCTCAGTAGAAAGTGGAGATGCTGGAGGAGAAAGTTGAGCTCTCCTCATCCAAAATGCAAAGCGCCGACACTGCTGAGACTGTTCAACCAGTGTTGTTTAATGACTAGTCCAGACTGTCAGTTATCTAAGGCCTACACTGAAACATGGTACTGTGGCATGGTGGTTAACACCATTTCAAAGAAGCAAGCAGGTCTTGGGTTCAAATCCCCCATCTTGACTGGATTTGCATGTTCTCCCCGTGTCTGCACGGGTTCTCTCCAGATTCTCAGAGCCTTTCATACAGTGCGATAGACTGGTGACCTCTCCAGGGTCTCAATTTATTTACAAATACTTGTTCATGTATTAGTTTTTATATATCATTCTGTTATATTTACTAGGGGTGATAGCCCGACGGACAGGGCAGAGATAGATTTTGGTAGCCCGCCTGGAAAAATCGCTAGCCCCGGGACGTCGGGCTAGAGATTTTGTGAGCCCTTTATCTGATTGAGGAATCACTCCTCTTTGGAAAAGAGTGTTTATTACAGAGAAATGTCTCTTTCCAAAATAAAAGCTATACCATACGCTTCTTCTGGGCTATATTCTCAGCAGCATATTAAACATATCAGGTACCCATAAGGAGAATCATGTGCTAACAGCTGTCTAAATGACTCGGGTAAATTTTGTAGCATGCGTGCTTGTTGTTTTTGTCTTCTTCCACTTGTCTTTGTACTAGGATGCTGTCGGAGTAAATGTGCAGTCATATATTAATCTCGTTAAAATGACATTAACGCCACAACACGGCAAATCTCCGTTAACGAGCTACCACGGGTCGCCCGTGCGTGGGGCTGGACGGCGAACACGTTAACGAGCTAACTGCGCTAACACACTAGTTCCCACCTATGTAATTGAGCATTGCGTGGCACATCCAACATACTGTTTCCATGACACGCTTACCTTCAGGGTCATACGTCACATGAAAACCAAAATAGTTCCAAACGCCAGATCTGAATGAGGGTGGGGAGGTTCAATTTGCCATGTTGCAAGGAGAGCTTAACTTCTGTCTCGCTAGCTTGCCCTGCGCTCAGTGAATCTGCGTTCGACTACTCCGCCTAGGCTGCACTGTCGAGCGCAGATCCACTGAGCGCTCAACACAGACAGCATAGTCAGAAGGAAAGTTGATAAAATAGATTAAAAATTTTGTATTGTTCGATACATATGCGTACCGAACCGAAAGCACTGTATCGAACGGTTCAATATCGATACGAGTATTGTTGCACCCCTAATATTTGCATAATACAGCTTTTATTTGCAGCTTTAATGTGACTCTGGTTGTGTTATCATTATTGTCTGTTAAACATGAACATGAACAAGCTTTAATTTCACTCCGGTTGTTTTTTCATTATTGTGTCTGAAATATGAACATTTCTTCCTTCTGCTCTTTCTTCATGTAACATTTCACATACTGAAATCATCGATCAGCTCCAAAAGGAGAAAAAAACAGCAGCGGCGGACCTGAAGACGAAGCTGGAGGACAAAAATCGTGAGGTTTGTCTTTCCATTATAAACATTCAGAATTTACTGACCCAGCTCTGTTTATCTCTGTATTGTAAAGAGTTATGAAGGAAACTTTAGATATTATTTTGTTTATTTCACAACAAATGTCTATTATATTAAAGATCAAATTGCACTAAGTGGAAGTGATATTTAAAGCTTCTTTTTATTGTTACGTTTGATGTAATTAACTGTGTGTGAAGAGACAAAGACAATAGTGAGAATATTGCACATGTTCATTTCATTAAAGATAAAGGATCCTTTAAAAGCTGTGGCTATGTTTAACTTCATCATTATTCTACAAACCTTAAACTGACAGTAACAATAAATGTGCTATCAGATTTTAGAGAATTCGAGTCTGCTATTATTTTTGTTTATTTGTTTGGTGGTTCCAGGTCATAAGCTGGAGTAGAGTAGTGCAAACCTTCAGTAACTGCATTCAAATAAAATGCTGAAGAAATAACATTTTTTGGTCATGTTTGATGTTGAGCTACGTGCTATTGAATTAAATTCTAAAGGCTGTCATCGTACGTATCATTAACTCTGAGACTGTGGCTGACTTCATTACAGCCTTTTTAAACTCTGCCTTTTTTGATCCAGATTGTCCGGATACTAACTGTTTCACACCTCCTTTGGTTGATGATTTTGCCAACGCTATGCTATCTGTTATCCGCCTGTTGTTCCATCTTGGATACTGTGGCCCCTATAAAGATGAAATGTCCCAGAACTTCTCATCAACCATGGCTAAATGATACTATACGAGCCTTATGTCGTGTCTGCCATCAATCTGAAAGGAAGTGGAAAAAAGACAGGCTTCAGATATCCTATGACATTCTTTGTAGTAATACCAGAACTCTGTAAAGGCAGCTAAAGCAGCTTTCCTATCAGATATTATTGAGACTAATAGCCACAACCCTCGAATGTTATTCAAAATTTTTAAATCAGTGATAAATCCCTGTCCGGACTCTTCAAGCTCGGCCTCCCAGGCTCTCTGTGAGCAATTTCTTAATCATTTTACTTTTATTACTGAAGGCTTCACACTTTTGAAGAAAAACTTCAAAAGGTTTCACAATATATTTATATAGTGTAGTTCAATATATTTAAGGCTTCACAATTTTGAAGAAAAACAACACGTGGGGTCAAAAATGATCCCACGAGTTGTTTTTCTTCAAAATCTTTAAAATGAAAAGTTGATATATATTAATATTCCAGGTGTTCCTCATAAAATATGTTTGTAACATGAGGCCATTTGCATTTTTATTTATTTTTTCATTAATTAAAAAAAATGCAGTTTTTATCACTACCCCACTCTTCCACAAGTGACCCCAAGCAGTTCCTATGTAATCTTCTATGAAACTTTCATTCTTAGCAACTCTGACTGTCCCACTTACACTTCTGATGGATCAAGAATTAATTTTTACACAGTAACATACATGATTTATAGTCAGGGCTGCACATAAGTGGTCCGCAAGTGTGCATTCGCTGTCAAAAAAAAAGTATTCCCGGAAATTCAGAGAGTACACGCTTCTTTTGTGGTGGAGGAACACCTAAGTAATTGCTTACGGAGCTTGCTTCTTCAACATCTTTAAGAGTTTTGAACAAACGTCTGTCCTCCTCCAGAACATCTTATGTACACAAACGAGCGTTCCAACTTCTTATCTGGTACGCGTCTTTTATTTTGACAGCAAATGCGCACCTGAGGACCATTTATGTGTAGCCCTGTTTAAAGTTTCCTGTGCATTTCAAACATTGTCCTTTCTGATTTTTTAAAAATATTTAACATGGCTGCTATGAGGCCAGCTAGGATCCATGTGGCCCTACAAATGATCTAGGACGGATGGGATGAAGAGCCCATTGGAGGCACTGACTCAGAATCTGAGATCTCAGACAAAGAGGACCCAGACTATTGTCCCCCCCACTGAATAAGGCCAGTCAGATACAGAGGAGTCCTCTGATGAGTCCTCTCAAGAGGAGATGGATATTGAGTCTAACAGAATGAGCCCCTCTTACTGCTCTGGCCACAATATTCTGAATTAGTCAGCCAGGGCTTGCACCTGGGTTTAGTACTGTCTCCCCAATAGATGTATGGAAGATGTTCATGTCTGATAATATACAGGGAGTGCAGAATTATTAGGCAAGTTGTATTTTTGAGGAATAATTTTATTATTGAACAACAACCATGTTCTCAATGAACCCAAAAAACTCATTAATATCAAAGCTGAATGTTTTTGGAAGTAGTTTTTAGTTTGTTTTTAGTTTTAGCTATTTTAGGGGGATATCTGTGTGTGCAGGCGACTATTACTGTGCATAATTATTAGGCAACTTAACAAAAAACAAATATATACCCATTTCAATTACTTATTTTTACCAGTGAAACCAATATAACATCTCCACATTCACAAATATACATTTCTGACATTCAAAAACAAAACAAAAACAAAGTTTGATTTTTTTAATCTTAACTATTTAACTCTTAATAAATAAGATATCATAAATGTGTATTTTTATTATAGCACAAAGTTATGAAAGGTAACAGAAATACTTTGGTGATTTTGAACAAACTGTTTTGGTCAGACTAGTTACTCTGACATCAGTTTGTACTGTCTGTGATCAGGAGGAAAACCAGGAAGCTGACAAAAAGTTGAAGGAGGATAAAAAACAGGATTTCCAGCAGCAGGAGAAAAAAACACCCACCAAAGAATTTTGGAAACAGGTAAATACAGACAGACAAACACACGTTTTCAACACTTCACTGACTTATAGTCATTCATGGGTCTAGAATTAAAAACTGCAGAATATGAACATTTCATTAAGAAGGAATTTGAAACTTCAGTTATTTCTATGATTCATATTATAACATTGAGTCTCAGCATTGTGTCATGTCTATAACTTAATTAGTTCATTTTTGTTGTTTAACCATTGTTTCCCATTTTTTAAATAGTTTAACTCCATTTAGCAGTTTATTTCTCGTATTTGGAACATTTGCATTTCAATTTGTAATCTGAAAACTGGACTGAAACTTTGATAAAGTTACAAAAACACAGACACCAGATTATCAATTATTTTATTTTTATGTATATATAAACTGTACATGAACACATGCATGCTTCTTTTACCATAAAGATATTTATAGAAACACAAATCTTCAGCTTGCTCTCATATTCAGTGACATTATTGGAGTTCAGGGTCAGTCAGAGGTCAGATTCCCTGTTTGAATTCTTTAAGGAAGAGAGATTTGAAAGCAAACAGAAAATGTGTGAACAGTTTTGGAGATGTGTTCAGACTGTTATGTTTAACAGTCCAGATTGTTTTGTTCAGGCTGAACCTTTGTGTTGATCTGTTTGTCTGTTAGTTGGAGAAAAACCAACATGCAGCTGAGGAGAAGCTGAAGGAGGAACATCATCACCTGCAGAAGAAACATGCAGAGATCAGCAACATGAAGAAAGAAGTAAACACACACAGACTGTTGTTTTGAACACTTCAGCACAAACACACATTCATTTACTGGGATCTCGCTCTGTCCTCAACCATAAACAAACAAACATGCAACACATTTACATTTATTATTTATTCTATTGGCTTTTTAATGGTAGGAAAGGAAACAAGGACCCAAACTGAGTGTGTAAAAACAGATTTCTCTTACAAACACAGACAAAGACTCACATCCACACAATAAGAGACAGCGGAGACAGAAATTCAAGGTTTGCTGCAAAAACCTCTGAAATCATTCAGCAATCACAGAACAGAAGTTACAGCCAAACAACCCGAACATCTCAGAGACTTTCAGGACTCTTATTTCCTCGTCTCACAGTTCACACAGAAAAATATGAAGACACAAGTTTTTAATTCTTTGTAAATCTCCCCTTTTTAATAAACACAACATCATGAAATATATATATGTATTAAAGCACAAAGTTATGAAAGGAAACAAAGTCCGATCATTTTTAAAAAACTGTTTTGGTCAGACTAGTTTCCTCTGACGTCAGTTTCTACTGTCTGTGATCAGGAGAAAAAGAAGGAAGCTGACGCAAAGTTGAAGAAGGATCCATCCATCCATCCATCCTCATCCGCTTTATCCGAGGCCGGGTCGCGGGGGCAGCAGCCTAAGCAAAGAGGCCCAGACCTCCATCTCCAGCTTATCCGGGGGAACACCAAGGCTGACACAAAGTTGAAGAAGGATGAAAAACAGAATTTCCATCAGGAGATAAAACAACTAAACGTCAAAGAACATGTGAAAGAGGTAAATACAGACAGACAAACACTTGTTTTCAACACTTCACTGACTTAAAGTCATTCATGGGACTAGAGCTAAAATCTGGATCATGAACATCTCACTGAGAAAGAATCAAAATGTTTACTTACTTCTGTGATTCATATTAAGACCAACAATATATTTGTGTGTCTTAGCATTAACTCACTTCACTGAATTCTTTGTTATAAACATAGTTTCTTAGCTATTTATTTAACGTTTATTAAATTTTTTAGCAACTTTTAGCAAACACATTTTCTAACAAGCTCCAACTATTTTACATCATCATCTGTCACACACTAATCTGGATTTTTTTGTCTCTCTCTCTCAGCAACAGTCAAACAAACCTAACACACCACAGAGAGGTGACATTATTTTAGACGAGGTTGACAGACATCGTGACTATATCTGTCTGAAAAACACTTCCAGTGAGGTACTGCTGCTTGCATGCTGGTGAACAATGAGTACTACCTAAAAACAAACAACATGTTTTGTGTTTGTGTTCAGAAATATTTGTGAAACAAGGTCGTTTTCACTTGTAGATACAACACAAAGATGGAAATGACACATTTTTATTTATAAACACAACATTTATGAAGTCAACTTCATCATCCCCCCCCCACCTCCCCTTTTTCATTCTCTTTTATAGGATATATTGATGGCAGGTTGGAAGTTAAAACTACAGCGCGGCGACCGAACCACCACATACACATTTAAAGAGAACTTTACACTGAAAGCTACAGAGGAACTCACTGTGAGTCTCTGTGTTACTAGATTCTTCTTTTAGTCTCTCTTATTATTACTTTTCACTTGGACATCTGTGACCTTTTTATCGGCTACATTTACAGGTACAGGGAGCTGGTGGCAGGAACCCATATACTGACAATGCTAAAGTGATGTGGTTGGGCATGATGATATGGGATTCATACAAGCTAAAGATCGACCTCATCAGCAGCACTGGAGAGCGCCACAGGCTAAAGTGATACTAAAAAAACGATTACATCATGTAAACTCATCAGGACAGTTTTGATGAATAAAAGAAAAAAAAGAGCAATATTACATTTTATATATTTCATATAATTTTAAGTCAGTGTAACAGTGTTTTTTATTAAATTAACAATATGTAAATAAACAAGGTGATCTTCAATATCAGAATCAATAGATCTTCATTATTCTTTGAGGTGCAACACAAAAACAGTTTTGTTGCAAGGGTGTGGATGAAGACGAAGCTTCACTGTGTCTTTGTAAGCTGAAGATACACGAGTCAAAGCATCACGAAGATAAACTCACAAGATCTTGAGAGAAAAAAGCATGAATATGTCACTGAGCAGTAATTATGTTGTTTTGTGTTTTACAACCTTTAGCACAGACACATGTTTTGGTATTGTATATCAGGAGGTGTTTTTGTATGTCAGTGCTAAAAGTGAACCATGTTATTGATGTTTTAAATAATCTAACATAGTTTAATTAACTAACATAGTTAATGTCATCAAGACAAAAGCACTGAATCAAAAGAAGAACAAACAGGTTGTTGTACTTTTATTTCATGAATGGCCGAGCACTTCAAGTCCTGATATGTGTTATATTCTTATTCTTTTCTTGAACAAAAATATGTTCCACCAATAAGAAGACAGTCTCATGCTTGTTCTCTTTGGATCAGATGAATCCGGATTCTCTCTGAGTGATGATTTTTCAATAAACTCGTGAAAAAAAAACTTTTGAATAACTTCACTAAGCAAATTCCCTCTGTGACTGTTGATCAGTTTCTTTTATGTGTGAATGTGTTATTTGTTATGTTGCTCTGTTTTCTAAAAAGTCCCAGCATAAGATGCAGCAACAAAGCTTCTTCTATAGCAGTGTAAATGTGACACACCGTAATGTGTGGTCACATTATGTGATGTTATTTTGTATATTGCACAAGTCTTCAGGTGTGTTTTGTTAAACAAAGGCCTTAATTTTGTGTTTTTTGTTGGAGCTTCAACATGTGGTGTGATCCCTAGTTAGGGGGCACCTCCACCCTAGTGAGATGATTTAGTGTGACACTACCGCTGGTCTTCAGATCTGGCAGAAGCGAGAGAGGAAAACATACTATGATGCTGTTTTGTCAGTACCAGGTATAATTTCTGGCTGTCGGCTTAGGGGTGTGCTACATAAACAGTCCTCAGGATGACACAAATTTGTGTAAAGCAGTTTGTGAAGTCAGCACGTTTTGCTAGCTATGAGAGAATATATCTGCTCTAATACTTTGCCAATATTAATATTGGGAAATATCACTCAGCCTGTCTGATGACTCACCAACATCAGAGATGCTTCAATTCATCTTCACTATTGTCCTTCATCAGATGCTCAAACACTGTCATCATGCTGTGAATATACACTACAGCTAAAAATTGGATTTATTTATTTTTTATATACAGGTCAGTCTCAGTTATTTGGTCCTTCTCAGCCATTTGTGGCAAGAGTTGGTGATGGCATCACATTACCATGTCCTTCTTTGGGAAGTAAACTAGAAGTAAGCTGGTGAAAAAAACTAATAACTGAAAAAAGGTTTCTAACAAGTGGCGTGCTGCCATGTTCTCATTGAAGTCTTGCATCACTGATGCATTATGTCTCCCCAAAATACTGTTGCTCTCTGCTTCATGTCACATGCTTAAAGAAATCCCTCAGTATTCCTTATCTTCCCAAATAAGGGGAGCCATTGAGATTAGGGGTGGGTTTTGATTATCGATTTATCGATTAAAATCAATTCATCAGGTAATGTTTATATGTTGATTAATGGTTTTCTTTAGTTTTTGATCTACTGCAGAATATTTTTATAAAATCCCAGGCCAGGAAAACCACCTTCACGTTTTTCTGTGTTTTATCTTCAGCTACTTTGACACAAAGGCATCTGCTGTGATGCTTAAACCTTTGATAAAGTCTTGCAAGTGTCAGCTTTCTTTTTATAGACAAAAAAATGGAAATGTACTGATGCATGATCTGAATTATAATATTTCTGACTGTCTGAGGCAAAAAATCCCCGATTCAAATTGAATCGAATCAGATCAAATCGGAACATTGTGAATCAGAATCAAATCAATTCTAGAAATCAGTGACAATACCCAGCCCTAATTGAGATCACCGCAGTGAAAAGAACAAAAACAGTGACAGGTAGTGAAACAGCTCTAGTCTCTCTGGAATGATATAAAAACCTGCATCTGAGATGGAAACAAAGTTAAAAATATGAAGCATTGAAAATACAAAACAAAATGATGATATTTAGAGTAGACCTCAAAAATCCTTACAATTTGACAGTCATTCTTTTGGAATTAAGACATTTTCTTATACTTGTCTGTAATTTTGTATTTCCTAGAGCGCCTGATTTTAATATTTCTAGTTTCTGGTTTTCATGTCTGTTCCAGTCTGTGTTCTGTCTTCAGCATCTCCTGTTGTTTGTATGATCTTTATTTTGTCTCCCCAGTGTGTGTCTCATGTCTGTTTTCCCTCAGTCCCAGTGACAAGCCCACATATCTTAATTAAGTTTCAGTGTGTGTTACCTCCTGTTTTATTTAAGTCTGTAATCCTGTGTGCATTGTGTTCAGTTTTGCATCCTCTGTCTCTTTATTTGTAATTAGACTTATTATAAAAAAGTTCTTGTTATGCTTTTTCCTGTATAAGAACGGCACATTTAGTGGAGGAAGAAACTAGAAAAATTGAATATTCTAAGAAAACAGCTCTCATTATGAAAGCACTTGCTAGCAATAAAAGCTAAAACATGTCAAAACAGTGAGGCAAATGCTAAATGTCCTTTTTTTGGCCAGGTGGACAACAGAAGGAGTGATACACCCTGAAGGTGTCAGGTTTGTCTTGTGACCTCTTTCTTGTGGTAGACAGGAACAATTTTTTGGAGTAGAGCAAATAATTTGTGTAAGATCTTAATGTAAAGTCTGATCATTTTGTAAATAATAGTTGTTTAGTTGTTCAAAAAAATGCCGAGGGACTGTCTGTACTTTAATTTAAATAGTTGTGTAAATTTTTGCATAATTTAAAGTATGCATTTGCATTTCAAGTCCTGAAAAGGTTTTCCTGCTCTGATGTGTGTGTGTTTTCATGTCCATTGTGTTAATACTGATGGAGTGTGTGTGATGAGAACCCAAATGCGGCCATGGAGGCGAACAGAAGTTTAAACAGAAAGCGAGCCTTTATTAAGGCGATGGAGCAGATACAAGGGAAAATGAAAATCCTAAACATAAACAAAAACTTACACTGGAAATAATACTAGTGAAAGTGGTGCAGAGAACATGGGAACATGAAGGACACCGGGCACAGGAACAGGTGCATGACAGGAACATAACAGACACTCTGATGGTGGACAAAGTGAAACTGATACCATGTACACATGAGGGTGATGAGGGGAAGTGGAGACACGTGGGAACACAGCTGGACTGAATGCACTTAATGACAAGGAGGAGTGAAACAGAACCTGATGCATACGGGACAAGACTCTCACAATAAGAAAAGAAACAGACTAAGGCTACGTTCACACTGCAGGTCTTAGTGCTGAATTCTGATTTTTTGATTAAATCTGATTTTTTTGTCTGCTTATTCACACAACAAATAAAATGCGACAGCAAACGCACTCTAGTGTGAACCCTCAAAGTGGCCCGAATGCGCAAAAGCAAACGTCACACACAACGCGCTCTGTTTAGACCCAGACCAAACAGTATTGTTTGACTGATGGCCCTTAATATAAAGACTTGTTTCGGACTTTACGTTTCCCAATTTTGCTTTAAATTCTAAAGTTATTTTGTTATTTACATATGGCCTAATAATTATCCTTTTTGCTGTTTTAGAGGAGCGGTGCTTCAAAGGATAGTTGCAGATTTCTGTCAGAATCTGCAGATTATACAATACAAATAAAAAGTTCACGTTTCTCCAACGTTGTCTTCCCAACAGCTTCACTAACATCTACACTGGATGGCCAGGAAGCTTTCGCGATGTCTTCTGATAATTGGCGTCGGTGTCACGGTCTGGCTGGCAGACCGTGGGGATGTGTGGGGAAGGAGGACCCAGGCGCGGTGCTCTATGTATAAACAGTGTTTATTTACAGTGTGCAACAAAGTAACAGTAAATCCCCGTGTTTTCCCAGACTCACATGTTGTGTCTCTCCGTAAATAGTCCATGTCTTTGTGCTCTCCGCTCCCGTGTCAGCACCCCCCGGTGCTCGCTGCTCTCGTGTCTTCCACGCTCCTCCTGCGGGAAACAATAGATGCAGCCGTCAGGACACATACAACTGCGGGCATACACGCACACTAACTTAACAGAAGACTAACGTGGAGTCTCATGCAATGATCCCGCGTCAGTGGGAGCTCCAAGACTCTCCTAAGTAGCTCCCCCGACGAGCCCTGATCAGCGGCAGGTGTGTGGCTTCGGGTGTGGCCAGTCCCTCCGCAGGGCCACACCCCTCAGGCCTGCAGGTGGCCGAGCTCCATCCTCCAGGCACACCCGCAGACATACACACCCATACCTCGCCTAAACATATGAGTGGGACACAGACTAACACAGCAAAGAGAAACACACATATGTACACGCACAGAGAAGGGGAAACGACACCAAAAATACATAATAATACACAGTGTTGTGATATTTTGATACTACGGTTAGCATTTACAGGATATTGTTTTATAGTGATATTATACAGGAAAACTGTTACTCAATAAGGCCCATTTACTAGTTGTTTTTCTCTTTCTCTCTGACCCAAGAATTGATGTGTAAGAATCACAGGATGGTACCCCAAGGTCGAAAACACCACAGAGATCACTTCCTTACTCCCATCCTCCCTTCCTTATCCTTTAGAAAAGAGCTTGTTAAAGGCCAGGTGGTTTGTTTCAGAATTCACTAATGAAAGAACTCTGTATTCTATGTCTAGGAGTGTATTTTGCTGGGATGATCATAAATTGTAGCTGAACTGATAAACTACACAAAGGATACTTCTTTGCTCACAAGGCAGGAAGACGTTCCCTTATTTGGTCTGTACCGGTTTGAACTGAGAACCTGCTGACACACGAACCTTTTTTTCCTCTATATAAACTGTTGTCTGATGAATAAACCTTTGAGTTGATTTTGGGAAAGCAACCCGTACAGTTTCTGTGTCGTTTTGTTCTCCCAGCTGCTCCCGACGTCGTAACTAACCCTGCTGAACGGCATACCTGAGTGTTACTTTGAATAATTAGGAATCTTATAAGGAAAGGACAAAACTCTGCTTATCGGTGCTCACGCCTTGGAGGAAACCCGATCCATGGAGAAACCCGGGACGGAAATTTCCTTCACACAGGTCCATGACTGCCCAGGGATCCTGGGTCGCCCAGTCCCAGGACCCTGACAGTCGGTCTTGTGTCAGTGACGTAAAAGACGGATTTAATGCAACATGACCGTTCAAACAGCAGTCGCTTTCTAAAACATCAGATATGTATCGGTTTCAGTACCACATATGAAAGTGACCCAGATCGGATTTGTAATAATAATGTATTGCATTCATATAGCGCTTTTCAGGACCCCTTTAAGTGCTTCACAATGCCACTATTCATTCACTCTCACATTCACACACTGGTGAAGGCAGCTACAGTTGCAGCCACAGCTGCCCTGGGGCAGACTGACAGAAGCGAGGCTGCTATATTGCGCCATCGGCCCCTCGGCCCATCACCAGCAGGCGATAGGTGAAGTGTCTTGCTTAAGG